TCAGGGCGGTGGAGAGGCTGGGCGGCCGCCGGCAGGGAGAGCTGCCCGCTCCACGGCTCGCGCGGCCCGGGCCCTTCGGCCCGGCTCCCCACCCCGCTCGCGGCTCTCGCCCCCACGATCCCTAATCCAATTTGCAACTTGGCCGCGTGCCGCCCCCGGCCCGGCCCCCACCCCCGAAGCCCCAGTTCCAGAGGCGGGAGGATCGTCTCCTCTAGCCCTGGCGTCCCCAGCTCCCGGAGCAGCTCCGGGCAGCAAGGACTGGAGAGCTGGGGCGTGAGCAGCAGGCTGAGGAGCCAGCCCCGTCCGTCGCCCCTACGGTCAGGGACCCCCTTCCCCCCTTCACACTGCCTCCCTCCCACACGGCTCTTCAGATCTCGTTGTATTTTGGGATTGATGGAAAAAAATCCAAATTTGTTTGTTCGCTTCTCTTTTTTTGGTGGTGGTGGGGAAAGGTCGCAGGTTTTTTCGGGACAACCATGGGAGGTCCCCATCTCGGCCTCTTCGCTCTCGCCCCCCGCCCCCATGATCCTGCCTTTCCCTCCCCAAGCCCATCGCAGGCAGAGACACCTCCCTCTGCAGCCCTCTGAGCTGTAGACCCTCGGGGAGAGAGAACCCGGGGCGCCTCCGATGCCCACCCAATGAGGGGGGCACCATTCCAGGGAGGGGGCATTTGGGGACCCTCGTGTCGGCCGAAACAGCCGCCTCCCCCTCCCAATCAGCGGGTCAGATCCAGCTCCCTTTCGGACAACTTACCTCGGAGAGGAGTCAAGGGGAGAGGGGAGGGGAGGGGGGAGGGGGCGAGAGAGAGGGGGGAGAAGAGGGATCTTCTCGCTTATTTCATTGTTCCCCCATCTTCAGGGAGCGGGGGCAGTGGCTCCTCAAGGCGGCGGGCGCCGGCGTCTTCAGAGCGCCATGCGAACCGCGGAGAGAGTGTGGCATCTCTACCAGGCGGGGTACCAGCCTCTATGCCAGGCCATATGGGCTTGGCACGTCACGGGCAGCAGCTATCACATGAGAGACGGTGATTGGCATGCGTCTGCATTGGGGGAGAGCCGGCTCCCCCGGGACCCGCCGCCATCTGTCACTCTCTACTCCAAAAAAAAAAAAAAAAAATTAAATAAATAAAGGAAATAAATAAATATCTCTGCCGCCCTCCCCTCCCCGCCCAACTCAGGGAAAGCAGGGATTGAGAGGGGGGTGGGAGGAGTTGGCCCCCTTGGATACAGAGCCCCCCACATGGGAACAATGGAGTGGCAAGGCTGGAAATTGGGGGTTTGTAGTGGCCACCACTTCTGTGGTCCCTCCAGGATCCTGCTCTGTCCATTTCCTCCCTTGCAGGCCCCCAAGGTAGGTCAGGGACCAGAACCTAGGGTGTAGAGAAGGGACCTCTGTGCTTGCCCCCACTCCCCAGGAGGTCTCCTCAGCCACAAAGGGACAGCTGAGGCCCCCTCCCAGGGTGGGGTGTGGGGGGCCTCCCTGGCCCAAGCCCCATAGGTAGATGTTGGCACCATGCCATCCCTCATCCCTGTCTGCCCCTCCCCCACCACCCTCACGCACACACAACATATGTGGCTGAACGAAATTCAAACCAAGGGAAAGACAGAGAAAGGGAAAGACTTGCCTGGATGTCTGTGCCTCTGCATGGGCGTGTATGTGTGTCTATGTGTGTGTACAAGGGTGTATATCTGTGGAGTCAGCCAATGAGAGGTATTTCCTTGGGTGTTGGGGCATAGGTATGTTAGGGTGGGGGTACAGAGGAACCCTTGAGATGAGCCTATGCACCCACCCACATGGGGGAGGAAGGGAGGGTCTAAGTCTGTATTTCTAACCCAGAACCTCTCACTCTCCTCCTCCCCTTCCCCCACCCCCTGCCAGAGAGGTGACAATCCCACCAGTAGCTTTCTCTCCTTACCATCTGACTGGTTATTTGGGGGAGGAACAGGGGGCTGGGAACTGCCTAAAGTTCCTGGGTGGATCTCAAGCATTCTCCTCCCTCTGCAAAAATAGTGAAAATATTGAAGCCAACCCTAGCAGTCCCAAGAGTGGCCAAGGTCAGACAGGTGTCGTGATAAGGAAGATAAGTAGTAGGAAATTGCTGTTTTATCTAATAGCTCACCTTTCAACCCTCTCACTGGGTCAGATACAGGTGCAGATGACACAGGTTAAGGGAGGTAGCTTTAGACACACGTACCTGTTCCTCATCCTGGGGTGCACCAGATAGATACACACCTCTATTCAGATAGACACGTGTGTGAGCAAGTAACCACAGCCAGGTGTAGAGAGACCCTTGCTGCACTCCCATTCAGGCATGTGTGTTTCAGACCCACATTTCCTGCCCCTCCCCACCCTTTGGCCTACATATGGACATACAACTTCAATTATACTTTTTTTGTTTTTGGCAGCTGATTCGTGTGGTAATCCGAACCTTTGACCTTGGTGTTATAACAACACACTCTAACCAGTCAGTTATACTTTAAGCACACATGTTTTAATGTCAACCATGTGCCAATCACTGTGCCGGTGGAAAGATGAGCAGGAGGACTTCACCCTCCACCTGGGTAGATACAGTTCTCTCCCTCTAGGAGCCTCCAGAGGGGGCTTTGGGCTCGTAAGATTCTGATTCAATGCCCACTAGACTGAATTAGGCTCTAAACAGAGGCACACATCATGGCTAAGGAGGACTTGGAGAAGGGGACCTGGTGCTGTCTGGGGCTCTCAGAGGCACTTGTCAGGATCTGAAAGGAGCCTTAGAACGCACAGTCCTAATTCCTCTTTTTACAGAGGCACATAGAGGGGAAGTGACTTGCCTAAGAACACACAGGCAAAGAGCTGAACTGGGTCTAGAACCCAGGTACTTGACTCCCAGCCCAGTGCTCCTCGTGCACCCCACAATCTGCCTCAATGGTCTCCAAGGATGAGAAGCCAATGGTAAGTTTTCCTCCATTCATGGATCCTGGGTCTGGGGAAGGCAAATCTCATCTACGGCAGGTAGTGTGGGGGATTCTGGGCATGGCAGAGAAAAAGGCCAAAGGATGGGCCTCAGGTAGGGCAGAGTCTCAGAAGTGCTGGCCAGGCCCCTCTCCAAGTTTTGGCATAGCCTGGATGGCTTTAGTGACCCTTTACTGCGGGTGGGGCCCTCAGTCCTGAGTAGTAGCCTGTCTCCTGAGTCAGCCGGCTGTATGGTATTTTGGTTACATGCACATGCTCTGGGATTCTGATTCCTGGCCAATCCCACTTATCGACTTGAAAAAATGCTGAATGCCTTGAGTGAGTTATGTAACTTCTCTTAGTCTCGATTTGCCTGTCTGTAAAATGGGGAGAATTATGCTGTACCCTCATAGGGCTGTCATTGGTACTAAATGGGATAATACATGTAAAGAGCTGAGCACAGGGCCAGCAGTGTAGTGAGCCTTCCATACATGCCAACTCTTAATAATATTCAGTACTTGAACATACGCCCGCCACACACACATTCAAAATGCTTTGTCTATACAGAAACTGCATTTTTGTTGAATTGATGGGTGAGTGAATGGATGAATAAGTGAATGAATGCTTGCTCGGGGGAGGAAGAGACCCCCTGCCTTCTCCCTGCGGCACTGAGGGCTGGGTTAAGCCCACCAGTGGTCTCACAGGCCCCTCCAGGCAGGAGGCAGAAACTTGCTCTGGATAGGGGAGCCCTTGGGAGAGTTTCTTGACTCCTGTCAGGAATGACCTCAGCTCTCTGGGCCTGAAAAGCCCCCTCAACCCCCAGAGAAGGCAGCCTGATGTAGGGGGGAGCATACCTGGGGGTAGAGGGAATGCATCCCTCTAGATCTATTTCTCGCCCCTGTCTTTTCTTCCTTCAGAAAAATGGAACAAGTTTTTCTCACTCAACACATTTTAACTTTTTTTTTTAGAAGATACAATAAAAAGCAGGGGAAAATTGGAACAGAGGGAGGAGTGGGATGGGTCTGCCTCAGACATGGGTTTGAAAGAGGCACAACACGTGTGTCCACAGACACGCAGGCAAGCACGAACACGCAGGGACATACACGCTCCTCTCTGTACATGCAGAGATGCAGAGATGCCGAGATGGAGAGACACAAGAGCCAGAAATGGAAGGAAGGAGACTGAAGAAGGACACCCAGAGATGCCATCTGTTCCTCCCCC